TTGACCATTATGAAATATATTCTTAGCATTAGCAACACCAACAACAGCTGGCAAACCATATTCTCTTGAAACTATAGCACCATGTTGAAGCATTCCACCCATTTCTAATACTAAAGCACCAACAATTGGAAATAATGATGTCCATGCTGGATCAGTAGCTGTACAAACTAAGATTTCACCAGGTTCTAATTTAGAATTCATTGGATCATCAACTATACGTACTTTTCCTTCATATACACCTGGAGATACAGGACTACCAATATATTCACCTTCAATTAATTCAATTTGTTGATTAGTTTCATCTGATATTGTTGTTGCATCATAATAAGTTGTTCCATTAGAAAGTAATATTAATGGTATTCGTTTACAAGACATTTGTTTTGTATATTCTAATCGACGTTGTAAAATTAAATTTTTCCAATAATCTATTTTATCATATTGTTTATGATCAGTATCATAAGCTAATGATTTTAATTCATTAATATATAGAAAAAAAATATCATCAACATTTGAAATTAAATTTTCATTAACTGCTAAATTAGCTTTAGAAAGAAGTTCTTTACGACATTTACCAAATGTTTGAATAAGGCCATAAAATTTTGGACATTCTCTTATTGAAAATAAAATTTTTAAACGATTAAAAAGAAAATTTACTAATGGTCTTTGAATAAAAGGCCATCGTAAATCATTTTCAATTCTTGATAAAGCTTCATACGCACTTTGTCGACTTTGATCATGAATTTTATCAATCGCTTTATCAGGATTAGAAATTTTTAAATAATTTCTTATTTGTTCAAGAACAATTTCTGGTTGATCAGACCATCGTTTACGACCTATATCAATTTCTCCAATACCACGACAACCATAATTATCAAAGAATTCATCTATTTTTAATTGAATATCTTTATCAAAAGATTTTCTTTTATAAATATCTACTAAATTATTTATTGTTTCATTTTCAAATAATTTTAATGTTGTTTCATTATTTTTTATTAATATAGTTAATTTCCATAACATAAGATTCATTTCTGTTGTTGGATTTGATTCAACAGCACGTGTAAGTGCAAGAGCATCAATAGAATTTTTTGCTAATTTTCCAAGAATTCTTAAAGATATAATAGCAGGTAGAAGAGGTGGAAAAGCATATTTTGCTAAAGTTGGTGGTAATACCGATATTATATTTTGAAAATGATTAACACAATTAGTAAAATTTTGATTATTTTCATCTTCAAATCCTTTATCAATAAATTGATGATATTTTTCTATTTGATTCATAAATAATTTTATTCCATAACGAGGAAATATGAAATTTCGTATGGATTTTAAAAGTGTAGAACTAATAAAAAATAATAAAAATAAATATGTTGTTAATGATGAAAATATTGATTTTATTGGAAACAATTTTGAACGAACTAAATAATTTATAATTGTACCCATTCCAGTATCAATCATTGATAAACCAAAGAAATGTACTGCTGCTGATGTTAATATTCCAGTAATATCAATCCAGAGACGATTTGATGCTGATTTAAATATATTATGTCGTAATGGATTTGAAGATATATCACCTTCAACTGAACTATTACGATTAATCCCTATCATTCTTAACAAAGTACCAAGTAGAGTACGTATCAAACTTTGACCTAAAGGTGTCATAGGTTCAAGAAATCCTTGAATTGTACCAAATGATATCATACATCTTAAACCTGATTGTCCATGAGCATATTTTGGTATTGGAAATAAAGTTGTTATAGGTCTCGCTTGTAAAATATATAATTTTCCTTTGGTAAAACTCCATTCTAAATCTTGTGGTTGATAATTATAACTTTTTTCTACTTGTTTAGCTAATTTAGCAAGTTGTATAATATATTGATCAGATAATGCTTCGATTTTTTTATTATTATCTATGGTAACTAATGTTTCAGTACCACCATCTGATTTACCAATAATATGAATACTTTTTTCACCAATATTTTTGACACGTATTTCTACATTTTCATATTTATCAAATAATATTTCATAATGATCTGGTGTAACAAGACCTGATACCAAAGCTTCACCTAATCCATATGTTGAATCAATAACAACTTCATTTCTTAAACCTGTTATAGGATTTGCAGTAAATGCAACACCAGAAACTTCACTAGAAATCATTTCTTGTACAACTACAGCAAGTTTAACAATTTTATGATCAATATTTGATTTTTTTCTATATGATATTGCTCGAGCTGTAAATAATGATGCCCAACATTCTTTTATTTTATCAATTAAATTTTCTTTTATTACATGTAAATAAGTATCTTGTTGTCCAGCAAATGAATTATCAGGTAAATCTTCAGCTGTAGCACTACTTCGAACAGCAACATGAATATTCATATTAGAATTTTTTTCACATAATTTATTATAATGTTCTATTATTAAATTAATTATGTCATTTGGTAAATTTATATTACAAATTGTTTGTTTTATTTTATTACTAATATCTTCTAATTCTTTTATATTATCAACATCAACTTCATCTATTAACAATAGAACATTTTTTGTTTGTTCATTATTAAGTACATGTTGAAATGCATTTGTTGTTATTATGAAAGCATCAGGAACATTAAAATTTCGTTGAAATAAAATTGCTAAATTTGCTCCTTTACCACCAACTATTTCTAATTCAGTAGCATGTTTCTCTTCCAAACTTACAACAAATGGTATATTATCACTCATAGTCATTTATTTAATTATATTGTCACATAAGATTTACTAAATTTCAAAAAAAAAAGAAGTAAAGTTACATATTGATGAGCAATCTTTTTAGAGTATTTCATAAAATAAAACTTCGTATGACCTTCATTAGCAAGGAGAGTATCCTGCCATATCCTGCATACCATTCTCTCTGGTTGAGTCTTCATGTCTTTATCGAGATGTCGCCATTGATCGATCAAAACATCAGTAAGAAATTTTAACATGAGAGGATTAGAATACTGCAAAAGACAATATTTTCTGCATTTCGTATTTTATTAACGTTAGAGTACAGAAGATCTTTAGCTCTTATTTTAAAACTATTGCCCAATCCAAAATAAAAGACGAGTTTTTATTTTTGAATAACTTTTGATAGGAACAAGATAGAGACATGCGGTTTTCACCATTCGAAGAAGTGATGTTCAAATCATCGATCTATATAAAACTGATTATGGTGAAAGATACTTTTGAATCGATACTTTTTTCTTTGCGTATTTTCATCAATCTTCACAATAATCTCAAATCAAGTTATATCAAAATATAGCTTAAATCACCTTTTTTTTGGCTATAAAATGATCATATATTCCATTATTCCTCAACTTCTTATTCCAGATAGATTTACAAAAAAAGTGCAATAATTTTATAGCGAAAAAAAGGCGATTTGAGCTATATTTTGACATAATTTCATTTGAGATCATTGTGAAGATTAATGAAGCTATGCAAAGAAAAACATATCAATTTAAAAGCACCTATAAGAAAACCCATTTTTCGCCATAGTGAATTTTACACAGATCGATGACTCGGACATCGTTCCTTAGAATGGTGAAAACCGCATGTCTCTATCTTGTTCCTATCGAAAGTTATTCAAAAAATGACAACTCGCCTTTTATTATGAATCGGGTAATAGTAGACTTTTGAATTATGTTGATATATCAAAGCTATTGTTTATAAGATCATACTGTTAAATCTCGACTGTCTCTAAGTTCACAGAAATCACCTAAAGATTTATGTAAATTCGGGGAAAACTTAGGGCTTTATATTTTAGTGAAAATTCATAACAAGAATATGTAGTGATGAATTTGCTTCTATGTCATGTTTACCTGATGTATTTTCGATCGTCAAATGTATTGATTGGATGGTTGTAAGGAGATAAATATCAGTATAAACCTTCGAATAGTGCGAGGAATATTTAAATATACAGGTAAGTGTGATAAATGGTTATATATATACCCGAGATAAATAGCATATTTTGTGCTCTACATACTTTTTCGCACGTGTCGAACGCAAAAGTACGATGACGCGCGTAATACAAAAATAGAGTGAAGTAAATAAAAAATGCGTATGTACAAAATAAGCTAATATTTCTAATAAGAGAGCTTTGCTAAGTGATAATTCACATTTGAAACAAGTATTACAGCATTAAGTAGGCCCTATTGAGACTACAGGTAGAATAGATAGGACTTGGACCAAAGCTAATCGACATCTGACAGATACTTTCAATGTCATAGTACAGTTTTCAAACTTTTACTTTATATGAAAAAGTATACTGTTTAGTTTCTTTCATAAATAAAAACAAAAAAGAGATCATCTCAACTTCTACAAAAAAGCAAGCTCTAGAGAAAGTACTGAGAAAGCCTTAGCAGGGTACCTAATATTGGTACTTCGAAAATTCTCAGTAATTATACTGATGTAGGCACTGCAAGGGGTACCTATAAAAGTACGCTCACTGAGCAAGTACTGGTATGGATACCCGCATCTGTAATTTTACTGAGGAAAACTCTACAGGATACCCTAAATTTGTCGCGTTCTGCGTAGCGACTGTTCATTCACCGTTTTCTTTTTCGCGCACGGCTTCATATAAACAACTGAGCAAAACAGAAGAAATTAATCTGTTTTCATACTAATTTTTTCTAGGTTATTTCTTCACTATTCCTTAGTCGAGAACTTTCCGATCTTGATCGTAGATTAAGAGCGGACTATCCTGAGGTGGTCTCATGGATACTCGGCCAACTCAAGTTTGGTCATATCTCGGCTTTTGACTTGCTGAGTTTTCGGAATTGAAAAAATTAAATATAATAAAATCGAAAAAAATGTAATGAATCGCTTTGATAGAAAAAAAATGCAAAAAGTGAAAGGTCAGGTTCGATTCTGAACATATTGAAATTTTGGTAGCAGAGTACCTAGAAATACTGTACAATAATACCCAATTGAATATCTGATCGGTATCTTCAAGTACCCAGTTACTATACATTTTTTAGTAGGGTACCCACCAAAGTACCACTTAGGTACTTAAAAGTACCTATAAATACTTTGGTACCCAAAAGTTACTGTGACATACTGGTGACAGGGTACTTTTTCGAGTACCCTTAGCCCAGTATATTCTCTAGGAAGTGGCTTAGGATTCACTTGGTGTCTTTCTACTTCTAAAATCTAGTCAATTTCTCTAAGTATACCTTTGCTTGTTGTTGATGACACTGGAATGAAGCGCAGTGTTGGTCTCGAACGTCATGATTTTGAACACATACTTCAATGCTTTTTCTATCATGATAATACATCTTCACCTTTTTGATAGTTCATTTTCCTCTCCATGTATAAAAAAGACCCGATGAACACAAACTCTTTAGAATTCTCGCTAATCTCAATAGGATCTACCTAATGATTTAAGACTCGTCTTGAAATTGATTTATTACTCAGTGAAATTACATCGTAAGATATTGATAATTTTTGATTCTACCATATACTGTTTCAATACAGATTATCAAAATGACTCTGGATTTCTTTCAATGATTACAAATTCGACATAGTTTTGTACTAATATTTCTTTCTCTAAAGAGCGAAAACATCATATGTCTTTCCAACTAAGACAAAATAGTGTATTTCAATTCCATTTCATATATATTTTTCAATGAAATCTTCAAATTGAATCGTTTATTCTCTATAAAATTTAATTTCAAAAATGAATATATCATGTTAGATATATATAAATATTAGTTTTCAATCAAGTAGAAAACATTCAACTAGCCATAAAACACGAAAAAACAAGGACGCAAGCGTATTTGCATAAAAATATGGAATACGATTTCAATTAACTACAACTATACATAATTGAATAGAAATAAGGAAAAAAATCTGATAAAATAAAGAGTTAATTAATTACTACGATGTTCTCTATCATCATTTGAACCACTGTAGTTGGTTTTCTAGTACATAGTACAAAGTAATGTATTCGAAACTCGGCACTACTTGCCATGGAATGACTTTGAATTAGTCATTGCTGACTATTTGCTTCGAATTAGCCGTATGACAGCATGTTGACTACATCGTGACGTACATTGACCCTCTTGGCTACTATGTTATTAGTTAGTGTATGCAGGAAACTCAAGTAATTGAGCCGAAGAACTCTTGAGTCATACTGACCTTCTGCTCTGATCTATAATTAACAGTAGTTGAAGGTAAGATATTAGGCTAATGAAACTATCCGATCTTCGATTGATACTCTATATCACGAGAAAGTCGAAAGGCAGAGCATTCTTCTTTTGCTGTTATTTACTCGTTTGTTTAGTGCAAAAAGATTTCTAAACAAAAAAAGCTTTTTAACCTACTCATCGAAAATTTTTAGCTGCCATTGCTGATTTACGCATCAACTTACATCTCTATCAATAGATAGGAGCTACCTGAATGAAAGTTTGATGTAAATGACATTTCATATTTTAATAATGTAAGTTGAATAGTGTTTTATATTTATTTCTTTTTTGTTGGACAATCTGAAATAACATGATATTGACAGTTTTCTAGAAATTAGACCCTAACAAGTAGAGCAGAAGTTATATCAGATTTGACATTATCGAACGTTTTTCTCTATATACCGAAATTACAAAGATGAAAAATGATCTACATATACGAAGTTTTTCACAGATTCTGTTTTTGATTCAAGTGAATGACATTTTTTTTTTGCATAAAAATTAATTCCAAAAACAATATAAATTATGTCAATCAAATCTGTTCCCGTTACACAAGCATCACCATTGTAAAATCAGTTATCATTTAATACTGTAAGTTTATAATTACTTGTTTTCGATACTTTTATTCGAAAAATATATAGTTCACGATTAAAAATAAAATTTCGCATTAGGAGATCTAACTAGGTCTGTGATAGCATACAGTTTTATGAATTAGTGCTTTTCGGAGAAGTGGGTCTAGTGATATTTTTTTCGTATACTGTTTCAGTTCTCAAAATAGAACTAGTTCATAAAACTGGGAGCTATCGTAGTCATTAATTTGTTTTAACAGATATATTATTAATTTTAGCACAACCTTTTCCATTTGAATTAGTTTCTATATCAATTTGTGCTTGATAATTTCCAGCAAGTATCCAGGATGTAGAATTAATTTTCATTGGAATATTAAATGTATGTTCTCCCTATAAACAAAAGATTGTAATTATTAATTGTACAATATTATATGCATATTTACTGCTTCTATTGGACAACTATATTGTTTATAACGAGTACAAAGATCATCATATGTACATGAACCAATTATGAAGCAGGGAAGTGTAATATAAGTTATAAAAAGTTTTCTTCTTAATGACACTGTTGCCTAAATGTGTATGAAGTTTAGTCATTTCTTATTAATTCTATTTTTATAGGATACAAACCTTTAATGGACTTGTTAACTTTTGATTAGTATAGATAGTTGTTGTTACAGAAATCAAACCAGGAATCACAATTGGATCTGGACTTATCGTAAGACTTAGTAGTTTGATATCATTTGATTCACTTCCACAATTTTCCCATGATACTTGAGTAACTACAACTGTCTGAACACGAACTTTTTATTTAATTTATATTTTTACTTGTTATACTTTACCAATGGAAGAAACAGACAGGATAAAAATAAACTGAAATTTATAAAAGCCATGGAATATATAACTGTATATAGAGTGAATGAATAAGACTTATATATCTTTCGTCCATTTATATTTTTGCGTA